AAGAAATAGAAAATCTGAATAGGGGACACCTGGCTTGAGTGTACACCTTTGGCTCAGGGTTTGATCCCAGTCCTGGGATCAAGTCCCACATCGGGCTCCCTATGAGGAGCCTGCTTCTCCCTCTGTGTCTCTGCCTCTCTCTGTCTCTCATGAATAAATAAACAAAATCTTTTTAAAAATCTGAATAGGTTTAAAACTAGTAAAGAAAGGCACCTAGGTGGCTCAGTCATTTAAGCATCCAACTCTTGATTTTGGCTCAGGTCATGATCTCACATGCATGGAATTGAGCCCATCAGGCTTCATGCTCAGCACAAAGTCTGCTTGTCACTCTACTCTGTTCCCCTCCTTCAGCCCCCCCCCCACTCACTCTGTCCCTCAAAAATAAATAAAATCTTATTTTAAAAAACCTCACAAACCTAGTAAGGGGATTGAATCAAAAATCTCTCAACAACAACAAAAATGGAGGACCAGATAGCTTCACTAGAGAATTCTACCAAACATTTAAACAAGGATTAATGCTAATCCTTCTCAAATTCTTCCAACAGATTTAAGAGGAAAGAATGTTCAGGCTCATTTTACAAGGCTAGCATCACCCTCATACTGAAGCTAGACGAGGATGATAAAAGAAGATTATAGTCCAATATCCCTGATAAACATAGAGGCAAAAAGCATCAACATATACTAGAAACCAAATTCAGCATCAAATTAAAAGGATCATGCACCAAGAGCAGGTGGGATTTTTATCTTTGCAATGCTAGGATAATTTAATATATACAAATCAATAAATGTGATATACTACATTAAAAGAATGAAGGATAGGGATGCCTGGGTGGCTCAGTGGTTGAACTCACGTCATGATCCTGGGTCCTGGGATTGAGTCCTAAAATGGGCTCCCCGCAGGGAGCCTGCTTCTCCCTCTGCCTATGTTTCTGCCTCACTTATGAATAAATAAAATATTTTTTAAAAAAATGAATAAAGGATAAAAACCATAATGATCATCTCAGTATATACAGAAAAAAACTTCTGACAAAATTAAAAACCCTCCATGATAAGAACTCTCAACAGATTAGTTACAAAGGGAAGGTACCTCAACATAACAAAAGCATATAATATGACAAGCCCACAGCTAAACTCATAGTGAATGTTGGAAAATCTCAAAGTTTTTTCTTCAAGATCAGGAACAAGACAAGGATGCCCACTCCTACTATTTCTCTCCAGCAATGTACTGGAAGTCCCAATCAAGGCGATTAGGCAAGAAAAAGAAATAAAAGAAACAAAGAGAGAAGTAAAATTATCTATGCTTGCAGATGACATGATCTTATATGCAGAAAACCCTAAAGATTCCACCAAAAAAATGTTAAAACTAATCAATAAATTCAGTAAAATTGTGGAATACGAAATCAACAAAAATCAGTTGCATTTCTACACAATCACAATGAACTATCTGAACAGTTAATTTCTAAAACAATCTCATTTATAATAGAATCAAAAACAAGAAAGCACTTAGGAATACATTTCACCACGGAGAAGATAGATCTCTACACTGAAAGCTGTAAGATGCTGATGAAAGAAGCTGAAGACAACACAAAAAAATAGAAAGATATTCTATGCTCTTGGTTTGGAAGAATTAATGTTAAAATATCCATACCACCCAAAGCAATCTACAGATGCAATGCAATCCCTATCAAAATTCCAATGACAGGGCAGCCTGGGTAGCCCAGCAGTTTAGCGTGGCCTTCTGCCCAGGGCGTGATCCTGGAGACCAGGGATTGAGTCCCACATGGGTGGGACTTGGAGCCTGCTTCTCCCTCTGCCTGTGTCTCTGCCTCTCTCTCTCCCTCTCTCTCTCCTCTCTCTCTTTCTCTCTCTCTGTCTCTCATGAGTGAATAAAATCTTAAAAAAAAATTCCAATGACATTTTTCACAGATAGAAAAAGAACAATCCTAAAATTCATACAGAACCACAAAACAATCCTGAATTTACAAGATAATCTTGGTATACTTCCTCATTTTAAACTATATCACATGGGCAGCCCCGGTGGCCCAGCGGTTTAGCACCGCCTTCAGCCCAGGGTGTGATCCTCGAGACCCGGGGTCGAGTCCCACGTCAGGCTCCCTGTGTGGAGCCTGCTTCTCCCACTGCAAGTGTCTCTGCCTCTCTCTCTCTCTCTCTCTGTGTGTGTCTGTCATGAATAAATAAATAAAATCTTTAAAAAATAAACTATATCACAAAGCTATAGTAATCAAAACAGTATGGTACAGGAATAAAAGTGGACACATGGACCGATGGAACAGAATAGGGAGGCTAACAATAAACCCATGCATATATGCTCGATTTTTCTTTGATAGGGGCACCGACACACAATGGGGAAAGGATAATGCTTTCAATAAATCATGGTTGGGGAACTGGATATTCACAATAGCCAAGATATAGAAACAACATAAGTGTCTGTTGATGGACAAATGGATAAAAAATGTGTTATACTATTAGCAATGGAGTATTATTCAGTCATAAAAAAAGAAGGAAACCCTGCCATTTGTGACAACATGGAGGAACCTGGAGGCATTATGCTATGTGAAATAGGCCAAAGAGAGACAAATACTTTATAGTATCATTTATATGTGGAATCTAAAAAAGAAAACAATGTCAGACTCAGAAACATAGTAGAATGGTGGTTGCTGGGGCTGTGTAGTGGGGGCTAGCAGGGGTGATGTTCATCAAAGTGTATAAACTTTTCATTAAAAGATGAAGAAGTTCTGAGAAACATGAAAAACATTGTGATTATAGTTAATAATACCATATTGAATACTTAAAGTTTGCTAAGAGTGTGAATCTTAAGTGTTTTAACACATACAAAAGTATGTGAGAGAATGGATGTGTTAAATGTGTTAACCTGATGGTGGTAATCATTTCATAATGCATATATACATCAAATTGTGTTGTATGCTTTAAATATATATTTACTTATTTGGCAAAAATTAAAATTATGAAAGAAAATATGTGGAAATATTTTAATGATTTTGATGTGGGTGTTTCTAAGCAACAAATTAACACAGAAAATGTACAGTTATGAATTTTAAAACTTTAATAAAGTAAAAACCATTAATAAACTATGACATCCTGGAAGAAATGTTACATACATGTGACAGACAAATGTTTACTGTCTACAATATAAAATATCCTACACATCAATTTTCAAATGGTCAAGAAAAATAAATATGCCACAAACATTTGGAAAATGTAAAACATCACTGGTGAAGACTGATAAAATGAGTTCCTTTTTAAAAAAAATCTGTCAGAAAATGTTACAAGTTTGATAATACTGGTATTCATGGAGATGCAAGGAAATGGACACTCTCATCATAAGTTCTCAGTTTTTATCAAATTATATTCATACAGATGACCCAGCAGTCCCATTTCAAATATTCTAAATATTAAAACAGTCTGCAAAGAAATATGTACAGAAATGTTCATTACTCTTAGCACTGGTTGTTATGACAAAAAGATAAATATAATCTTAACGCCCATTGATGTGGGCATAGTTAAATACTTGGTAGTCACTCATGATGATTAACAACAAAATGTAGAGACCACTACAAAGTATTAGGCACCCAAGATACACTGTAAAATAAAAATAAAAAGTTACATAATAATAATAATAATACTTTTTCTATTTTATAAAAATATTGTGGTTTGGGGTTTTCTAGAATGATACATACAAGAACATTTGCAATCAGCACCAATGAGGAGTAGATCTAAGGGAGAGTAATACTCCCTCATTTCTTGAAATTTTGAAATATTATTTCATCTGTAGGTATTATTATATGCATGTATTATTTTTGTAATTTAAAAAACTCCTCTGCCCATACACACGTGTGCACACATACACACAAGACTGTCACTTTCAGGAATGTAATCATCTCCTTATTCTGAGCTACATATCTTCCACCCTTTGGTTCCCTTAAGGTGGTCTTCTTCTTCACTGCACCCTCCCAAATATTTGAAGACAGCTGCCACATACTTCTCAATCTTCTATTATCCAATTAAATATCCCAGGTGCCTTCATGCATTTCTTATGTGAATACTTCTCAGTGCTCTAAAAATGCTTTTTCACAATGTTAAGGCATAATTCCCCTGAGCTCCACCTGACCCAAACAAAGTAGAGTGGGTCTATTAAGCTCCTTGATTTGGATTTCAACAAATAGGATTTAACCATTTCAACCATAAAGTTCTATTAAGCCCTTCTAACAACATATGAAATTGTTTACTGAAAATATAAGCATGGGGCACAGGACTCATTGAAACTCTCTGTACTATCATTACAATTATTCCACAAATCTGAAACTGTCTGAAAATATAAATTTCATTAAATACATCAAACTTAATCATATGTCTACAAGTATAAAATGTAATTGATGATTTTCCTCATAAAGAAGTTTTCTTCACAATCTACTTCTCATGTCCCGTAGCAATGTATGATTCAAGTTACATTTTTTCTAACATATATTTATGCCAGTGAAGTTAGTCACCAAAAAATGTGATACAGTAAACGGTTTCAACAATAAATGCAGAAAAAATATTTTATGAAAATGCAGAAAAATAAATAATGATGTTTTCTTTGGAAGTTAAAAAAAAAAAAGAACTGCCAAAACAAAACTTTAGCTTACTTCTGTTTATGGATTTTAAATTCAGTCATATATCAAAATCAAACCTAATTGATTTAAACTTTGAGTTAATTCACATAGAAGTATCTCTAAAACAAGTCCAAACACATAAAAGAGATGTCTAAGAATAACATATTCAGTCTTTTTTTTTTAAAGAGAACATCTAAGATTGGTTTATGTCTCCTTAATCAAAATGTTGGTTTAATATACATTCATTTGATATTACAGTAGCTACTGATAACTGAATGTTGGATTTTAAATCAATTACACCATTTGATATTATAGTAGTTTATTAACTGAATATACTATGATTTTAAATAATTATGATATAATTACCTTTGATAAGTGTTTGCAGATAAGACACATAAAATATCACGGTAAGTCTGTGAATAGAGTAAATTAAGGTTTTCTAAGGAATTATATGACATTTAAAACAATCTGATTCATAAACATAAACACCCCCATGAGAAAGAAGTGTTTTTATTGCTAAAGTGAGTCCTCAGGAACACTTTATTTTGTGTTAAAGATTTTATTTATTTCTCAGGAACACTTTAATCCCATCTCTACCTCAGGTTAATATTTCCTTAAAGTTCTAAATTCCTCTTTTAAGAAAGAAAGAGAGAAAGAAAGAAAAGAAAAGAGAAAAAAGGAAGAAAGGAAGAAAAGAGTGTTGAGGTAAATCTTTAAGGTCCATTTAAACTAAAGTTCTCTCTGGGAAACGAACTGGGGGTGGTGGAAGGGGAGGAGGGCGGGGGGTGGGGGTGAATCGGTGACGGTGAGGGGGGCACTTGACGGGATGAGCACTGGGTGTCATTCTGTATGTTGGCAAATTGAACACCAATAAAAAATAAATTTATTATTTAAAAAAATAAATCATGAAAAAATAAAATAAACTCTAAAGTTCTAAGCTCTTAGATGTGAACAACTCCTTATTAGAGTTTAAGCTTATATTTTACCGGGAGGGATGTGGGCTGAAAGTGGGGAACTGGTTTACACAAAGGACGCAGCTTCTTCCATGTACTTTCAGAGACTATTTTATCTTAACTTTCCAAGAAAAGTAGGAATCTCTCTCTCCCCCGCCCCAACTCACCCTTTCCCCCAACCCCCAACCCAATTCCCACCCCGCAGTTAGAGTCCTACTTCACTGAAACTTCTGATTATTATAAAATTAGCTGTGGCATATCTACTTCCCTGATCTACCTCGGCCCTTAATAACCCCTACAGAAGACCAAAGAACGCTTAGCACAATGTACAACAAGATGGTGAGGGAGGGAGACAGGGAGGAGTGAAGGGGAATGTGGGGGCTTAACTGGGCCAAAGAGTTTTCAGCTGCAATCCTATGCAACTTAAACGGTGCAATACAAAATTTATGGGGAATTTAGTCTTACACTGTGAATAATACGTGGTTTCTAACTTAGAGATAAATGATGAAAAAATACATAGTGAAATCTGAACTCTAATTTAAAATGAAATCTAATTTTAGATTTTTTGACTTCTCCGGCTCCCTGGGGGGCTCAGCGATTGAGCATCTGCCTTGGGCTCAAGGCCTGATCCTGGAGTTCCGGGATCGAGTCCCACATCGGGCTCACTGTATAGAGCCTGCTTCTCCCTCTGCCTGTGTCTCTGCCTCTCTGTGTCTCTCATGAATGAATGAATAAATAAATAAATAAATAAATAAATAAATAAATAAATAAATAAACTGAAGTTTGAAACAATCTTTAAAAAAAAAAGAATTTTTAACTTCTCAGATTCGTTCAAAAGCATTTCTTATGGATGAATCTTTCAAGTGACACAAATGAGGTTCTAGTCACCCAGGCAAGCGAAAAGCCTATTTAGGGGCTTAGTTAATAGAATATATGCACTTACAGGAGGTTTAAGATTCAGTAGTATCACAGAAAAGTACCATATTATATTTGCTTTCCTTCTTTCTTCCAATAATTTCACAGAAGTGAAAAAGTAAATGAACATTAGAAGTATCTTTGAGGTAAAAAATAAGCCACAATGGGACAAAGAAAGAGGAAAGGTTTACATGGAGACAGAAGCTTTAATGGCTGCAGGGGTGGGGACGCAGGTGTAACACATACATGAGCATGCACAGATATGTCCGTTAATGCATATGGATGGTTTGACCTGTGGTGTGTTTGGGGGTTAGTACCATGTTTATGAGTTGTGGACCTTAATTTAAAAATATAGTAATAGTAGACCTAGCTATCATCTTCTCCCATATTAGCTCTCTCTCCACTGAATAGTTAATTCCTGCATTAGCCCCTCTAAGAGAGCCTTGCAGAATAGCACCATTTGCCATGATGGAATAGAAACAGTCTAATGGAGAACTAGGTAGAGAGCCAAGGGGACACTGTGTAGTTTACCCATTTCTTATTACTTCTGTCCTCTTTCCAAGTGGTCCCTAGGGAACTGGATCAAGGGAGAAACCACAGAGATACAGAGACAGATGCCTTTTTTCACTCATAAATTATTCACATTTTACATGAAAACAGAGGAATGAGAAATGTGGGAGCTGGAACTAACTATACAGAGAAGATATGCAACTTGACTTTAAATACAGAAAACTAGTTTCAACAGGATCACACCTGGTATAATAGAAAAATGTTATTGTTATCTACTTAAAGGTATGACATAAATACATACTGACTTAAGACAACTTGTAAACAATATCAAGATGGTACAAAAATGCTAAAAACTAAGACCTGGCATTTTTAGCCAGACTTTCAGATAAACCACTCCAGATCAAGAAAATCTACCAGAGCTATTTTAGAACATTATTCCTTCTATCATAATAATGTTTTCTTTTGTTGGGAAAATAGCAAACACATAGAACACAATGTTTTAAAGGGTGGCTATACAAATTTCTCCTGTGCGTGTCTTAAAATGGATCGACTTCCTTGAATGTGCTTTATATTTAGAAGATACCAAACTGTTATTTTCTTTTCACAGCATTTATAATTTTAATTCTTTAATCATTTGTGTGATTATTTGTTTAATGCCCCCCATACCCACTGAGACCATAAGTGCCAAGACATGAGCAGGCCTGTTTTATTTGCCCCAGAGGACTGAAAATGTGAATGTAGTTCATGGTACATAGTGGATAACTGATAAATTTCTTTTAAAAGAATAAGAACGTCCTCTCTAATGAGGCTTTCTAAAAAACCCATATTAAATAAAGAAAGATCTAAATAAGAATTTTTTAAGGGGGGTGTGAGTTCATCCTAAAAATAAAATGGAATTCCGAGCTATCAGAATTAATCCATTATAGTCCTTATCTTGAATCCAAAAGCAAACTATAAAATTTTTTTAAATACCTTTTTAAAGATAAAATAAGTAATCATCATAACAACCGGAAGCAATAATGTCTTTGTGTATCTCAAGGGAGTCTGAAACAAAGGAAAGTATTTAAAATAGTCATTTATTAAATGTTACATTAAATGAACAAAAATCTGTCAAATTGAGTATTACAATAAAATTTCTTAAAGGTAAAAATGTTTTTGTCATTAACATTATATATATTTATCAATCTTCACCTTCTAATGCAAAGATGAAAATTATAAAGTTAGACAAATGTACCAAAGATTTTAACAGTAAAAACTATTAAGGCAAAAATTAGCTATGTCAATTATTTTTTCCTTTCTTTTGGTTTTATCTTTTATTTACATAATATTAATTCTTAAATTTTATGTTTACATAGCTATCCCCAGACCCTACATTATCATTTCCTGGGCTGCAAAGTTCTGTTATTTTCATTGGTGAAACTAGAACAAACAAAGAAGAAAGCCGGTCTGCATAATAATTACTGTAAATATGAGTAAGCACTGAACTAACATCAGCAATTAAATAATCCTCATGAGCCATTATTGTGGTTGGAGTGATTTACCATGTCACTAAATTAAATACTTTTTGAAGGCAGAAACGGAGACATTTTCCTCTTTGTAGTCAGTCCTACAATAAACTACCTCACAGATAAATAGTAGTAATAATAGTTTTTGAGTGAATGTATGACTGGTTGGATAGATATAACAATAATGTATAGGGAGTAGTATACCTTTCTTGGCAGCAACTAGTTAAAATTTTTAACAATATTTGGATTTTTGAGTAAAATAAAGCTAAACTTTTGAAAACCAAAACAAGAATTTGGATTTATTTTGCCTCTAAGTGAACTAGAACTGTATGGGGCACCAGGTGGCTCAGGCAATTAAGCATCTGCCTTTGGTCACGATCCCAGGGTCCTAAGATAGAGCCCTGCGTTGGGCACCCCGTTCAGCAGGAGTCTGTTTCTCCCTCTCACTCTAACCCTCCCCCCTGCTCATGCTCTGGCTACTGTCTCTCTAAAATGAATAAATAAAAAAATCTTTTAAAAAATAAAATAGAACTGTAAGAATAGTAATTCACTGTGGATTAAATAGTATATTAAGCATTGTTCCTGGATTATATCATTTAATCATCATCAATAGCTCCTTTAGAGGCCATTGTTTATTGATTTTAGACATAAAAAACAGTTGAGGAATGCTGTATGACTAGTAAAAGTTATATTAAAAAATGGTGCCTCTGAACAAAAATTTTGAGTTTCAGATTAAAAGGAAAACTGAAGAGCAAAAAACCATCATATCTGTAGAGAAGGGAAAAAATCAAAGAAATATTCATACCGCTTTTTCCATGAAGTCAAATTCAGGAGCACAGGTGTAAATTAAGGTATCAAAATCTGTATACCTTAGGATTCTGGCTGCTATAAGGTCACTCAGCCGAATCTGGGAAGAAGATAAGGTAAAACAAATTTAAATTACACTAAGAACTATGGTCAATAATAATTGATTTGTATAATATTAATAAAGTCTATGGAGGAGATAATTCAAGGTACATAGATGTCCCTCAAATAAAAATTTTAAAAGATTTAGTAAACTATAAACATTATGTACTGAATTATGAAGAAAACTGAAAAACAAAGAGAAATATCAAAAGAAATGAAAAGCAAAAAGAGGTCAGAAAAAATAAGCAGGGAAGATAATATAGAGAGTAAGCTAAGATCAGCACTCACTGGGTAGAAACCATCATGCAGTTAATCAAGAGATTTTTATAATCATCATTCAGTAAGAAGGAAACAATCTCACATTAACCCCTCTCACCATACATTGCAAATCATGAATAAATTTTCTATGTGTTGTCATTTCCACAAAGCCTCATACACTGATTACAATTTTTGGTGCTTGTAGAATTTTTCAGATATACATTCAAGTCACTAAATACAGGAGCTATTCATAAGGATTACAACAACTACACACACTACTTTGATTTAATTACTTGATTTCTAAGGCCTTTGAAGTAAACATCACCAACCAAAATCAATGCAGAACTCCTATTTTCTACTGATTATTTATTACATACTGTCAGTGAGGCAATTATTTTTCCACTGCATTCTCAGAAGGCCAAAAAAAAGGGGAAAATACTTGTTATATAAACCTTAATTCAAATTATTTTTCAGGAACAAAAATTACTTTATATCAAACCTAACAATTATCTGTGGTTTTCATTTATTTATGGTTCCCCCTTATCTGTCAGTAGCAAGGATAATTTAGACCTTATTTTCTAATTTGGGGTAGGCCTAATGATGGATAATAATTTGACTAAACCACTTTCATTTCAAGTCTGTCTCACAACTGTCACACACAGGAAGTCATTTAAGAGTGCCAAGGTGTGTGTATAAGATTTGTAATGAACTGGATGACAATGTGGAGCAACCACAGACCAACTTAACAGATGACTTTTGAGGCTTCAATAAATTTTACCATAAAATATACAACTCCTACAGATTGAAAAGTTAAGAATAAAAAGGGAAAGAAAAAAGAAAAATGTTCCAGACATACCAGAGAACAGCAATCACAAATAAGCCTAATAAATCATCTCGCAGAGCTGGCAATAAATGGTGAATTAATCCTTACATTTTGAAATTTTATTTATCCTCAGCATGTATGCAAGCTCAATGCTCCTGGAGAGTGATAGCACTTAACCCTTTAGAGAATAAGTACCATAATCTCTTGTTAAAGGTAAAGAAATTTCAGTACTAGACAGGGTCCTACTGGATAGTACTAGAAGTACATTTCAGAGTAGGTTATTGTATGATACACTCATGCACACTCACATCCAAACGGAAAGTGTCAAGAACCAAAAATAAATTCCTGCATTGTTTTCTGTCCCCTAAACTGATTAGCTAAATAGGGACTTTGCTTTGACAAAGGCTACTACGTAAGACATTAGCTCTAAAACAAACACACACCATACGGGATATTTTCCCCGTATTTCTGCTGAGGGATATTTTCCAGAAGATGAAAAGAGACATTAACACTTCCCATTTTTCTTTTGCATTACAAGAAAAGCTTTAAAAATATCAAATCACATCTTAATTTTAGTCCATAATTATACATAAATAAAACTACATTGAGATTGTGTGTTTTATATTTCAAAGCTGAGTACAGACTGCTCATATGTTGAAATCTGCAAAAAATGAGTAACTTATTATTTAAACAAATGACTATTTTTTAAAGCTTTTTAAGTAATTTACACACCCAATGTATGGCTCAAAACCACAATCCCAACATCAAGAGTCGCACACTCTACTGACTGAGCCAGCCAGATGCCCCTTTTGTAACTGAAATATAAATATATAAATACTTATGATATTGTTAATTTTTTTCCTGGATGGTTAAACCAGCAGTCATTGATAAGTGTTCTTTCTTAGTGGGTTGAAAAATTCATTGAACTGGATGGTTTTATTATTGACTCTATCAATAACTACCCCTAGGACCTTGAGAAAGGCACTTAATCTCTATTAAATAAAGAGGTAAAAATAGAAGGTTTCAAAGTTTTCATCCAGCTACATATTTATAGGAATTTTTATGCATTAACTAAAAGTACTTACATGATCTGATACACCTAAGATTTTAGATGTAAGAAATTTCAAAATAACTGTTCCACACAACCAAGCACAACCTTGAATCAGCTAGAAAATAAGTGAAATAGATAGAAGTCAGATACTAAAAATTATAAATTAACCAGTTAAAATATTCAATTATACAAACAAAATGGTATAGGAAAGTTTTAACCATGTAAAGAATATTAATGATGAGGTCTAAAAAAAGGATACTCCTTCAGAAAATTTTGTTTAAAGGCAAAGAACTGAAAGAGATGACACTGCTATAAAATACATAACAACTCTAGAGTTCTACAAATTCTAAAGGAATTTATAAAGTTATTTCAATTTCTGTGAAGAAAAGAGTTATATGCTTGTTTCTAAATAGTAGTTCCTAGCTGAAAATTCCTTTTTTTTTTTCCAAAAAAATAGGGTTAAATTATCAAAAAAAAATTCTGCTACCACTCTTTTGGAAATAAAATGATAGGAGTCCCTCCTCAAGAAAGGAAAAATTTGAAGACAAGCTTTCATTCTAAAGAGAGAAATAGAAACTAAAATTTACATGGAGGTTTCTGTTCATTTTCTATTTGTTTTTTGGCTAACTTCGATTAGAAAAAGCACAAATGTGGACTTCTAGATAGCCTGAGGAAAATTATAGCAGCCTAAATCCAAATCTCTCCATACTTATCCAAGTAGAATAATACAACCACAAATAGAAAAAACAGGTAACAGTACAAACTTTAAATTACCTGTAAATAGGAAGGGACAATACATACAACAAAGTTAAACCTCATGTTCCGGATCTTAGCCCTTGTAGAGAATGAAGGGAATCTCAAAACCATGTGGAAGAGGAGAGAGGGAAATGAGGGGTTCCAAAATGAACTAACTCCAGGGACAGAATGTCCACTTTATGTGTGGGAACACTGGAGAATGAGTACAGAAAAGTATAAAAAGGACTGATCCCAGAAAGGCATTAATTTTGGAAAGAGAGGAAGGAAAAGAAAAAGAGAGAAACCCTCTAGGAGAAGGTGTGGAGAAGGAAATAAGAAGGGGAAATTAAGTATCCAGAAAAATAAATGGGGACCAAACAAAAGACAAACAATCACTATTGTCACTGAAAGATAAAGGAAGTTATTGATAAAACCACATTTTGTTATATTGACCAAGATTAGAAGATACCTGCTCTAACCACAAAATAATTAGATGAAAGATGTCTATATTATTTATAATATAGCTTCTATCAGAAGCTAAGAAAAATTAGAGTCAAACATTTCAGCTGGTGATATATGCTCTAATGAATAAAAATCACACAAAGCAAAAAAACAAAACAAAACAAAACACCTACAATGCAGAATTAAAAATTAAGTATGCCCAAATCAGCATTCAGGGCTATAAATAAACAAAGGTTTTATTTTTATTTTTTTAACAGATTTTTTTTAATTTTTTATTTATTTATGATAGTCACACACACAGAGAGAGAGAGAGAGGCAGAGACACAGGCAGAGGGAGAAGCAGGCTCCATACACTGGGAGCCCGACGTGGGATTCGATCCCGGATCTCCAGGATCGCGCCCTGGGCCAAAGGCAGGCGCTAAACCACTGCGCCACCCAGGGTTCCCAAACAAAGGTTTTAAAAACCAAAACCAGAAATGGACAAAACCAGAAAAAAAAACTGAGAGTGTTTATTAAATATAGAAAAGAAATGGAAGAAAAGGAGAAAATCATTGAAAAATGAAGACGGAGGAGGCAAGAGGGCAGAAGAGTAGGGGTCCTCATTTTATATGGTCCCCTTAATTTAGCTCAATAACTATCAAAACATCCTGAATACCTATCAATTTAACCTGAGATGTGAGGAAAGAATGGCCAGAACTCTACAAATAGCAAAGTCACCATTTCTCACAAGGTAGGAGTACAGAGAAGAAAATGCTGGGGAGGGAGCCCTTGTCAGCCAGCTACAGGAAAGTGGTAACAGCTCTGGAGCTCAGAGTCAGGACCTGCAGAAATCTGCTCTTGTGAGAGTCTTCCCTGCCTACAAGGCACTGAGTGGTGAAGCCAGGTAGAACTGCAGGTGGGACAGCGGGGTCTCAATGATCCCTGAGGCACAGAAAGAACAGAAGTGCCTGGGCCAGCAGAGTTCCCAAGCACTGGAGCAGGGAAATGGGTGTAGGTCAGAGAGCTCAGCTTATTTTGCCACAAACCAGCTTATTTTGCCTTCTGGGGTGACTGCTTTCCATCCTGGGTCTCTGCAAAGGACTGGGACACAGGGACCCTCCACCTTCCTCTGGGAAGGGCAGAGGCTCTCCCTGCCAGAACCCTACAAATTGCACTGATCAGTGTCCCTCCACCTGCCCCTGGGAGGATCTGAGTGTGCGGGCACCATAGGAGTCTACAGTTTGGCACATGCTGGCATCTCTCAGCATCCGGGCTGGAGAGCTAGACATCGTCATTTTTGTTTTTGCCCTCTAAAGAGGTACAGAATGCCTCCAGGGAACAAATGCCTCACACTGTAAACTGCTTACACTGAGCATGGCTCCCTGGCAAGCGGTGGTGCAACTACGCCCAGGCACAGGCACCAGAGAATCCACGCAGCAGGCCCTCCCTCAGAAGATCAGCTGGAAGAACAGGGAACAGCAAGTTTACTCACCAAACAGGTCTGGAGAACTCCAGGGTTGGGGAAAATAGTATATAGAACTAGAGTTTTTATTTTCTCATAATTTATCTTTCAGTTCAAAATTTTCCAATTTTTTTGTTTCAACTAGTTTCTTATTTTATTAACTCTGTATTTTTAGGTCTTTTTTTAGCTTTCATATTTTACAATTACATGTTATAGATATATTCTTCATCTTTGGCTTCCTTTGAAAGTATTCAATTTTATTTTTGTATCTGTATAAGTTTTTATTAATAATTTTTGAATTTAATATATTTTAGCAAACAGAACAAAATACACTCATGACCAAGTGGATCACCTTATTTTGTCCACTCTGAGATTATATTCTCTCTCCCTGCCCCCTATTTTTTCCTCTTCTTTTTTCTTTTCTTTGTCTTCATCTTTTTTCTTTTATTTTCTGGTTCCTGATCTCTTTGGAATTGTCTAGTGTGTATTTTGGTTGGGTTGTGGTTGATATTTTTGAGTCTGTGCACTTGTATAGCCATTCTTCACTGGAAAAAATGTCTATTAGGAGGAATTCACAACAAAAGAAAGAACCAGAGGTAATACTCTCTGTCACAGAGCTAATGGATATGGTTTTAAGTAATATGTTTGATATGGAGCTTAGGATAATAATTATAAAGTTACTAGTTACTAGTGCTTGAAGAACACATAAAAGACTCTAGAGAACCTCTTAGTGCAGAAATGAGATCTAATAAGGCCAAAATTAAAAATACTCTGAGAGTCTAAACTGGATGCTCTAATAGCTAGTGCAAATGAGACAGAAGAGAGAATAAGTGACATAGAAGACAAGTTGATGGAAAGGAAGGAACTGAGGAAAAGAGAAAAATAACTAAAAGGCCATGAGGAGAGGCTCCAAGAGATAAATGATAGTTTGAAAAAAAATAACATCCATATTATTGGAATTCCTGAGAACATTGAAGAGAGGCGGGGGCAGAAGGTATGCTAGAGCAAATTATAGTTAAGAACTCCCCTGATCTCGGGAAGGAAACAGGTATTCATATTCTAGAGGTAGAGAAGACCCCTCCCAAAATCAATAAAAACAGATCAACACCTCAACATATAATAATAAAGCTTGCAAATTTCAGAGGTAAACAGAAAATTCTGAAAGCAGTCTGACACAAAAGAGTCCTAACATACAGAAGGAGAAATATTAGAGTAACAGCAGACATATCCACAGGACCTGACAGGCCAGAAAGGGCTGGCATGATAGATATTCAGGGTACTAAATGAAAAATGAAGACAATCTCAAGGTAACTAAAGGAGAAAAATTCAAATAAAGATTCAAAAAGAGCACTGAAGACAGAAAAGATAACAACAAAAAACTCAAAAGAATAAAAATGAGATTAAAGAGGAAGTAAAAGAATCAGAGAAAATGGTAGAAACAAAAAACAGGCAACATTCATAGAGTCTCTGAAAAAGTAAAACTAAACAATGAATTGAAACTAGTATTTAAATACAATCCAAGTTTTCTTGGATTCTCTAGGAAGTTTTCTTAGACATAAAATACCTGAATTTACATTTGGAAAGGACTCACCATGTATTGAGGAAATTGACCAGTAGGGAAAACTACCTCAAGATATAGCCTAATAAAACTTAAAAATGAAGAAAAATTCCTTAACACTTCTAGGGACAAAGTCCACATAACTTAGAAGGGTAAGAGAATTTGGTTTGTATCATATGTGTTAAAAGGAACATAAAAACAGATCAAGACACTCATGTAGAAGCATTTTCAAGACACTCGAGAAAGTGGGACCCAAGAACTTTATATGTAGCCCATCAGTCACTCTGGTATAAAGATTATAAAAAACTAATTTCAAGCATGCAATACTTGAGGAAATAATCTTCCTAAGTATAGAAAGAAAGTTCAAAACAAAAGAGAACCATGTAGTGAAATATGAAGAGAAATAGTAAATGCAATAAAAATACACATATAATTTAGGACATAAATAAAAAATTTTATATTCTCACAAAACAAGACCTGCCCTGTGCTGTACAGAGAAGAAGTACTGAAACAGACTCAAAAAGGTGATGAAGACAACAATGGCCAAAGCAAATAAGGAGTCATAGCTTATAATCCTGTTGTCACTAAGGTTCACACCAACCAGTGTTAGATATAAAATATTTTGACATTAAAAGACACAATTCACAAAGAAAATATAATAAGTATGAACATCTATACACTGCAACCATCTATATAAAGCAGAAGTTACTAGACATTCAAGGAGAGATAGAAACATACTCAGAGGCTTAAATATACTTTTTCGATGCAAGATAGGTCAGTGGGCAAATAATACATAAAACTATAAAAGACAAAAAAATCAAAAGAAATATTGTCAATAAACTTATCAAAACATTTCTTATGAATAAAGGATACACCTTCATCTCAAACACACACAAAATACTCACAAAAAAATGATCTA